TTTCGGTATATATTCAAAACATTTTCAGGAATTATAGATTGGACTGGACTTATTTGGAAAAACCAGTCTACAAACCAATTAGGAATTGGAAGGGGTAATTCATTTTTAAAACTGATATACCAAGAATGTATAGGGTTTTCTTCTAATAAGATATAGGTCCACGCCTTTTGATAATCAAAATATGAATATGAAGGAGGATCAAAAGGTCTAGAGAAATTCTTTTCGGTGAAGGGGTGTTGCTTCCAATCATGGTAAGACAACACTTTAACTATTTTTAGTGTAGAGTAATTTATTATGGATGGTTTTTTTGAATCTGCTACTGGGGTAATTTCTACTGATCCTGAATCTATTAAAATAAATTGATAAAAAATTTTGTTTTTCTTTAAATTTTCATTTTTTGGTATCCAACTCCAGTGAGGAGGAGCTAGACTTTTTACTATCTTCTAGGGATCGTCTTCTTGCCAGTGATCTTCAATTGTTACAACATGTTGACAATGTTCAAGGATATGAAATTCTTTTGGGATGTTTTTAGAGGTAGAAGAGGTGGCCTTTTCAGGAGTATTTGGGCTATAGGCCAATACTGTGAATTTTAAGGTATTGGGTAGTTTTCGGGTTTGGGAGGCTTTTGAATATGATGGAGAGAAGTCATCTAGCGAAAGGCTAGATGGCCCGGTTTTTTTAGAGGGATTGGGCTGAGAGCCCATTTTTGGTGTGGTCATGGGTGAAACCCTGCAAAAATTCTCTTGTTAAAAATCTAGAATTGAATTATTCTTTCCTTTTATAAATTCAATTTCAAAATCAAAACAAGATATTAAACTTTGCCATCTAGCGAAAATCTGTTTTGAAACCAAATTCTTAACATCTTTTTTTAAAACTTCTTTTGTTGATTTACAATCTATTCTCAAAAGAAATTTTTTGTTTATTAAATCATGCTGAAATTTTTGCATGCATAAAACAATGCTTAAAATTTCCTTTTTAATAGTCCTATATTTGGTTTGGGCTGAATTCCATATTCCTGAATGATATTTTACAATATTAATTTTTTTAATATAATTAAATCGGGTACGGGTACAGGGCGGGTATGTATATACCCATACCCATACCCGTACTTGGTTTAATTTATCGAGTTTTACCCATACCCGATCAAATCGAGTATTCCCCGTCAAAGTCAGGACGGGTTTGGGTATTACCCACGGGTACGGATTTATTTTCCATCCCTATTGGTTCTGCCTCTTTGAAAGCCTTTGCTACTACCATACGACAGTGTCTAAAGTTTCTAATGCTTTGCATTAGAGATGCATGCATGCATGCCTTATTACCTTACATCATATATCTAAATTTCCTCATAATTGAATTATCTTAAAATTAAATTAATTTATCTTGGAGTAGGTCAAGGGAAAAGAAAAACAACAATTCATGTAATTAGGTCCCAGTATTAGTTAATAATCTCTTGCAATTCAATAATTATTAAAAGGGAAATAATGTTGTTAAAATATGATACAAACTTCTAGAATAATCTAGATTCTTATAGAAAAATACATAGGTATGCTAGTAATTACTAGATACAAATTCTAGAATCATGTAGAAAATTACATATAGATAGAAAACTCTAGAGTAGATATTTCTAGAGTTTTTTACATAAAACATGAATGATGTGTTGAGGCCTATAAATAGGTCATGTACTCAACATTTGTACCAAGCAACTAGTAAGCCATTTCTACTACTCAAATTTATTCCAACTATTCTTCTAAACTAGTTTTCCTCTCAACTAAGCCTATCATTATAAATTTGCCTCCCCATTCTTTCTACCAATCAAATAAGTTTTTACTATTTGATAATTCATAAACTAACAGTGGTACCAGAGCTACGTTCGGTCATCTACTGGGCATAGAAATATTACCCCACTACTTCCAAAAAAAATTTCCCAATATTCTATCCACTTTCAAAAAATAAATTCTAATCCATGGCTAACACCATTCAACCATCATCTATCCCTATTCCCATTTTTAATGGTGAAAATTATGATTTTTGGAGTACAACAATGAAGACATATTTCACCTTCCAAGATTTATGGGACACGATAGAAGAAGGATTTTCTACTCCAGAAGACACATCATCTCTTACTGCAACTCAAAAAAAGGAGTTGAAAGAGAACAAACAAGAGAATACTTATTCATTTTGCAACAAGCTGTGACCGACACAATTTTTCCGAGAATAATGGGTGCAACAACAGCCAAAGAAGCATGGACTACGCTGCAGGAGGAGTTCGAAGGAAGTGAAAAGGTACGTGCCGTAAAATTACAAACTCTACGGCGTAACTTTGAATTGTTAAATATGAAGGAATCTGAGACCGTAAAGGACTACTATTCTAAGATAAAAGAAATAGTTAACCAAATGAGAGCGTACGGGGAAAATATTCTTGACAAGAAAATTGTGGAGAAAATTCTAATTAGTGTTCCCCGTAAATATGATCCAATCGTGACAACAATTGAGCAAACAAAAGATCTATCTACCTTATCAGTAACAGAGTTGATGGGGTCACTTGAAGCTTATGAGCAAAGGTTGAATAGGCATGATGAAGACTCAACTGAAAATGCCTTTCAATCAAAGCTCAAATTACGGTCTCAAAATAAAGATAAAAGGAATAATGGAGAAACTTCTAGAAATAAAGAGAATTCTAGAAATTTCTCTAGAAATTATCAGAATGAATATCCTCCATGCGGCATTTGCAAGAGGACAAATCATGCCGAGAAAGACTGTCGATATCGTGGAAAGCCACAATGCCGCCACTGCAAAAAATTTGGACATGTGGAGAAGTATTGCCGCAACAAAAATAAGCATCAAGCAAACTTTGCTGAAGAGAAAGATGGTGAGCAACATCTTTTCTATGCTACCCAAGATTCCAATAGTGAAACAAGTGGAAGTTGGTACTTGGATAGCGGCTGCAGCAATCATATGGCCAAAGATGCAAGCATCTTCAAGGATATTGACGAATCTGTCAAAGTGAAAGTCCGAATGGGGAACGACACTGTCGTTGAATCAAAAGGCAAAGGCACAGTTATGGTGGAGGCGAAGAAAGGTATGAGACTTATTACTGATGTTCTACTAGTTCCCAATCTTAAAGAAAATCTCTAGAGCATTGGCCAAATGATGGAGAAAAGTTATACTCTCCATTTCGAAGGAGACACATGTAAAATATATGACAGTAAAAAACTAGAAATTGGCAGAGTAAAAATGGAGAAAAGGAATAAGAGTTTGCCTATAAGCCTGAGACAAGGCCCTAACATTGCCATGAAAGCAGAAGTAGACGACTCTTGGCTGTGGCATCAAAGATTTGACCACTTTAATACACATGCCTTAAAGTTATTATATCAAAAAAATATGATGAGAGATCTCCCATGCCTAAAAGCGAATAGTGAAGCTTGTGAAGGATGTCTCCTTGGCAAGCAACATCGACTGCCGTTTTCAACAAGCAAAGCATAGAGAGCAAAGGACTTGTTAGAGCTAATCCATACAGATATATGTGGACCAATGCGGACGTCGTCACTCCATAACAACAGGTATTTCATTCTCTTCATAGATGATTTTTCTAGAATGACTTGGGTCTACTTCATAAAAGCAAAATCAGAAGTCTTTGGTATTTTCAAGAAGTTTGAGACCCTTGTCGAAAAGCAAAGTGGCAAACAAATAAAAGTATTTAGAAGTGATTGTGGCAAAGAATACACTTCCCATGAGTTTGATAAATTTTGTGAAGATGAAGGCATTGAGCGACAACTTACAGTTGCATATTCTCCACAACAAAAATAGAGTATTTGAAAGGAAAAACCGCACAGTAATGAAGATGGCCAGATCAATGCTCAAGGAGAATGGATTACCAAACACGTTTTGGGCTGAAGGAGTTTATACTGCTGTCTACATACTTAATAGATGCCCAACTAAGGTAGTCCAAGATAAGACTCCAATTGAACTTGGAGCGGGAAAAATCCATCAGCAAAACACCTAAGGGTATTTGGATCTATTTGCTACATACACGTTCAAGAAGAGAAAAGACACAAGTTAGAAGACAAGACAGTACGAGGTATCTTCCTTGGATATAGCACACAGTCAAAAGGCTACCGCATCTACAACTTGCAAACCAAGAAGCTGATTATTAGCCGAGACATTGAAGTTGATGAAAATGCAGCTTAGAATTGGAATGATGAGAAAGTAGAGAAAAACTTTCTTATCTCAATTCAAAAACCAGAAGAAGAAACTATAGAAGTCCTAGGTGAGCCTCATTCTCCTCCACAACAACAAACTTCATCACCAGAGTCTACTCCAAGACGAGTTAGATCCTTGGAGGATATATATGAAACCTGCAACTTGGCCATACTTGAACCTGAAAACTTTGAAGCAGCATCAAAGCAACAAGTATGGGTCAAGGCTATGGAAGAAGATATAAAAATGATTGAGAAAAATAACACATGGGATCTAGTAGACTATCCAAAAGACAAAGATATCATCGGGGTAAAATGGGTTTATAAGACAAAGCTCAATCCGGACGGCACCATACAAAAACACAAGGCAAGGTTGGTAGCTAAGGGCTATTCACAACAACCTGGAGTCGACTACAACGAGACATTTGCCCCAGTAGCACGCCTAGATACAATTAGAGCTCTAATAGCTCTTGCGGCAGAAAAAGGCTGGAATATCTACCAGTTAGATGTCAAGTCCTCTTTTCTCAATGGAGTACTACAAGAAGAGATCTATGTAGAGCAACCACAAGGTTTCATAAGCAAGGGCAATGAAGACAAAGTATTAAGGCTCAGAAAAGCTTTATATGGCTTGAAGCAAGCTCCTCGAGCATGGTATAGCAGAATAGATCAATACTTCACCGATCATGGATTCAGGAGGAGTAAGAGTGAGCCAACATTATACATCAAGACCCAAGGTCAGTATGACACTCTCATTGTCTCCTTATATGTAGATGATCTTATCTACACAGGGAACATATGAAGATAATGACAGAATTCAAAGAAGACATGATGAAGACATTTGAAATGACGGACCTTGGCTTGATGAACTACTTCCTTGGTATTGAGGTAAGTCAAAAGGAGAAAGGGATATTCATTTGTCAAAAGAAATACACTGAAGCTCTCTTGAAGAAGTTTAAGATGAGTGGTTGCAAGACTGTCACTACTCCGCTTGTGACAAAGGAGAAGCTACAGAAAGATGATGGAGCACCAGATGCTGATGCATCTCGCTATAGAAGTTTGATTGGAAGCTTACTATATTTAACAGCCACACGACCAGACATAATGTATGCTGTAAGCCTTTTATCAAGGTTTATGCAAAAACCAAGCCAAATTCACTTTGGAGCAGCTAAAAGAATTCTAAGATACCTACAAGGCACGAAGGAGTTTGGTATTTGGTACAAAACAATGACCAATTCAAGTTTGCTCGGATACACCGACAGTGATTGGGCAGGATCGGTAGATGACATGAAGAGCACCTCTGGTTATGCCTTCTCACTTGGATCAGGAATATTTTCTTGGGCATCAAAAAAGCAAGCAACAGTTGCACAATCAACTGCAGAGGCAGAATATGTTGCAGCGACTGAAGCTACAAGTCAAGCAATTTGACTACGAAGAATACTTGCAAAAATGAGAGAACAACAAGATGGGCCTGCTACAATCTACTGCGACAATAAATCAACAATCGCAATGACAAAAAATCCAGTACATCACAGCAGGACAAAACACATTGCAATTAAATATCACTTCATCAGAGAAACAGAAACAACTAGAGAAATCAAGATGGAGTATTGCAAGACCAAAGAGCAAGTTGCTGACATATTCACAAAGGCACTGCCGAGAGCAAGATTCGAACAGTTTCGCACTATGATAGGAGTTAGAGAAATTTGTATCAAGGAGGAGTATTAAAATATGATACAAACTTCTAGAATAATCTAGATTCTTATAGAAAAATACATAGGTATGCTAGTAATTACTAGATACAAATTCTAAAATCATGAAAATTACATATAGATAAAAAACTCTAGAGTAGATATTTCTAGAGTTTTCTACATAAAACATGAATGATGTGTTGAGGCCTATAAATAGGTCATGTACTCAACATTTGTACCAAGCAACTAGTAAGCCATTTCTACTACTCAAATTTATTCCAATTATTCCTCTAAACTAGTTTTCCTCTCAACTAAGCCTATTATTATAAATTTGCCTCCTCATTCTTTCTACCAATCAAATAAGCTTTTACTATTTGATAATTCATAAACTAACAAATGTTAACAAAATATCGCACTGTTCTAAATAATCAGCCCACACATCAAGCTATTTTGTTCAAGAAATTGTCTCCACAACAATTATTTTACGAGTACAAGTACCGAAAATGAATATTCAAATATTGTTTAAATAGTGATTTTACAATGAAAAACAAATAAATGCATTCCTTTTCAGATGAGCCAAAAGAAGAAAAGAAACCCTACGCACACAGTAAGATCTCCCAGAAGAACTTTAACTAGCGAAGTGATAGCATCATTACCAGAATAGGAGGCATTCAAAGGCAAAGATCAACTTTAAATCATGCTCAAGTTGGAATCTTCAAAAGCTAAGATCCCGAGCTAAGTAGACCTTCCTAAGCACCCTATGCTTAAGCAACCAGAGCATTAGTAGCCACAAATCTACATGTAAAACAACTACTTAACTGCCCAAAACAATCACTAATCAATGCACCAAAAACAATTGCATCAGTACAAGAAAAATCAATTTTGACCTAAACATCTTCACTATCTTTTAATTTTACTCAAATTTTCTTCTTTTGTGTTTTTGCTTCAAGTCATCCATGGGTTCCACTTGAGAACAGATCGACTTGACCTCATTCATTTCATCATCACTAGAAGCAATGACATTCTCATTTGGTGAACGGCAGTGCTCCACTTTTTCAACCATTGGCTCATATACAAGGTAAATTGTTGTCTTGTTCACAATCAACCGTTTCCCAAAAACAACAACAATTTCCACTTTGTTACCAGGCTCTATATTTGATACTACCCTCTGCCACTCCTCATCTTCAAAGGAGGCCAATGCATCTCCCTTGTAAAGGAAAATGGTGGCTTTTGTGTGATTTTTCACCAACAAATTTTTTAGGTCATCTGATGTTACATTGTCTGGGGAAGAATAATGGACATGACATATCATTGTCTTTAAGTTATGTCTATTCACTTGAGGGATTTCAAAAATCACAGATGAACCTTCACTGCTGAAAGCTAACCAATCTGGATAACTATCACCGGGGACCAAACAACCACCGTGCTCACTACTAGACATATTCTGTAAAAATGAAAATATGCTCAGAAGTTTATTTAACAATACATTAATACCACCTTATAATTAATTCAAAACTTAAAATATATAACAATTTCTTTTTAAAAAAATTGAAAAAAAGATATAACAAGTTAATAACTCATTTTCAAATTAAAAAAATTATGATCATTTGATTCTGGAAAAAAAATATTCTGAATGGGAATATGTTATAGAAAAAAATCATTGAAATTTTTTAGGTTATGCATAAAATATTAACTTCGATTACTTAAATAAAGATTGTTAGACCAATTCAAAATAATACATAATAAATATATAATAACAAATGATTAAGTGGATCGTTAGTGGGTTAGGTTGATATAGGATATAAGTGGATTAGGTAGACAATTTGACATCCAACGGGTTCAGTCGGATAGACCAGGTCAAAAGTAAGTTGGGTTAAATTTTATGACCAATTATAAATTTCTTTATTTTTTGGCCCAATCAAGTCTGTTTTCAAGGTAGGTCGAATTGATCAACAAACTGAAACCCACTTTGACAGCTCTATGGTATTAATGAGAAAGCATTGTCTTAGGCTATGTTAGGATGGGATTTAAGAGGTTAAACATATCTTGAAATTAAAATGGTGAAAAGACGACATTGGTTGTCTTAATTATTTCTTTTGTTTTTGTTTTACATTTTTTAAAATAATAAAATGTTGATACATAAATAAATATTATCTATTGGTCCAACATTTATTAAGTTATATAAGTGTATTTCTTTTTAGAAGTTATTATTGATGAAAGGAATATTTGAATCTTTACTTTGTCTTCTATTCTCTCTAATAGTAGCCTTAAGAGTACTTTCAATAGGAGTAGTGTTAGCAATATATTATTGGGTGCTTTCATAAGCTTACTCCACCTTCCATGGATGATTACCTCTATACCATTTCTGCTCAACTAAAAGCTCTACAATCCAAGCTTCATCACCACCAACTAAAAGACCTCTATTATGCCACTGACTTTCACCATGGACAGGTTGATAGCTAGGCTTATATCTATCAATTTCCTCCCCCAACCCCACTGTCTAATTCCTTCACATTTCAAAAGACCCTTTGCCTTCAAGAAAATTCTCTTCAACCTCCACCCACCCAAAAAATTCATCTTTGTCCAATTTCATTGTTTTCCAACATATCATCTTGGTGTTTAGGTTGTTTTATGATATTTATCTGAGGGGATATTTTATAAGGTTATTTCACATACTACTCTATAATAAGATATTGTCCCCTTTGGATTTAAGTTCTCACGGTTTTATTTTTGGTTATCACCCAAACAACCTCTTAATCATTAAAATATGTGTGTAGTTTATAAGTTGAGATTATTTTATGGTATTTATCTGAGGAGATATTTTGTAAAAGTTAATATACATACAACTTCACAATGATGAGATATTATCCCTTTGGGTTTAAGTCCTCATAGTTTTATTTTTTAGTTATCACTCAAAAGACCTCTCAATCATTGAAGTATATGTGTACTTTATAAGTTGGGATTATTTTATAGTATTTGTCTGAAGGGATATTTTATAAGGATTATTTTACCACAATGATGAGATATTGTCTCCTTTAAGCTTAAGCTCTCATAGTTTTATTTTTGGTTATGACCCAAAAGGCCTCTTAATCATTGAAGTATATGTATACTTTATAAGTTATTTCACTGTTAGAGTTATTTTATAATATTTATCTGAAGGGATATTTTATAAGGGTTATAACTTTGTTATTTTTATAAAGTTATTTAAGACACAATTTCACAATGATGAGATATTATCCGTTTTGGGCCTAAAGTTTCATAATTTTGCTTTTGGTTTCATAAGGGTTATTTCATAGTGTCTACTTTGGGTTTAAGCCCTTACGGTTTTGTTTTTTGTTATCACCCAAAAAAATCTCTCAATCATTGAAGTATTTGCGTAGTTTATAAGTAGTTATTTTTCTTCTTATTTTATCGATGTGGAATCTGATTTGTATCCCAATAATCTTCTTCGTAAAAAAGGGACCCAACCTAACCACTGTTGGTTATAACTTTGTTATTTTTATAAGGTCATTTCACACAACTTTATAATGATGAGATATTACCTGCTTTGGACCTAAGCCTTCATGGTTTTGCTTTTGAATTTAAAAAGGTTTGGGCTTAAATCCTCATGGTTTTATTTTTGGATATCAAACAAAAGACCTTTCAGTAATTAATCCTTCCCTCAAACAAGGAACCTAACCACTGTTGAGTTATTTTATGATATTTGTCTAAGAAGATATTTTATGAATTTTGTCTAAGATGATATTTTATAAGGATTATATATTTATTATTTTTATAAGGTTATTTTATGAGATATTGTCCATTTTAGATCTAAAGCCTCACAATTTTACTTTTAATTATAACGCAAAAGACTTCTCAATCATCAAAATATGTATATATTTTGTAAATTATTATTTCTCTTCTTATTTCATTAATGTGGAACCTTATTTCTATCCCAACATTTAACAACCTCACATTTCATCCCCATAAATAACAACATTCCTATGCAGCACCACATAAATATCGAATACCATACTCCCAATTATCTCACACCCACCTTTATCCAACGGTTCCATGTGACTCCACCTGCCATCCAAGCTTGAAACTGCTCAAAGCGATTGATCTTAAATATTTACCTTATTTTATTTTACTTTTTTTAAAAAAAAAGGTAAATATTGTCTATTAATTAATATTAATTTATTAGATTATATTATTGTGTATACCTCATTAAAGGAGAGAAAATATATTTAAATCTTTATTTTATCTTCTAGTCACTTTAATAGTAATCTTGCAATATTGACATTAATTTCATGTCTATATTTTTCAATATTTTATACTGATGGCTTAATAATATACACTTTCACATATTATTTTTGTATGAAAAATAATTCAACTGAAAGATGATAAAGCAATATTTAAACATGATTTTATGAGAAAAATAACAATTAGATACATCTAAAAGTAAAAGAGAGATAGAAAAACCTGTAAAATGTTCTGTTCCAGAGTACAGGTCACTTCACAACTCATTCCCATTTGAAATAAAAGAGATCCTATGGAACTTTTTGATCTTGAAAAGTGCATTTTCCGGATGCACGAGGCTGAAGCATTCATATTCGATATCTGTGATGAAGTTGCATATGATTCCAAATCCTTAGAAGTCGTGTTATATAAAGCATCTAAAATATTTGTTGCATTTTGAGATAGTTGAAGTTCAGAGTCGCATTCTATCCAAAGACTTCGAAGTTTTGAAAGTTCCTTGGAAATAGATAATAAATGATGGGAATTACTAATTGCCAAATCTAATGGAATGACGGATGACATGCCCGCAAATGTTTCAATGTGAGGTGAGAGACTACTCATTGGTGACATCCAAGACCAAATGATAGAAGGGAACACATCACGGGAGAACCCTTCATATCCGCACAATGAAATATATCCAATGTTTTTTGATCTTATTATTGAAAATGGCACTTTTGTTATTGCCGTTTTATCTGCAAGAAAGGTTGTCAAAGACTCCATTTGTTCAAAATCTTCTTCCAACTTGTCAATCTTTAAACATCCAGAAAGAACGAGTGTCTTAAGAGATTTCAATTTATAGATACTTCTTGGAAGGTTACGAAGGCCAATACAATCTCTCAAGTTTATTATAAGAACTTTATTGAGACATCCAATGGTATGGGAAACCTCAGACAACATTGGACAATCTATGAGTACTAGTTTTTCAAGATTAGGAAAATTTGAAAAGTCTGGAGTCTGTCTTAAATAATGAGAATGACTAAGATTGAGAATTTTTAGTTTATCCATCAGCTGCAAGAAAAAAAAATATCATAGAGAAAAATTAGAGATAAAACAATAAATAAATGGAATAAATTACAATGTATCACAAATCTTGCAAGTAGGAAATGAAGTATTTGTAGTGATGAAGTGTTATCTTTTTATTGCCAATATATATTTGTTTAGTTTTACTTTTGCTTTCAAAATCTTTCACCCAAGACTTAATTTATATGTATCTATATCACATCAAGTATTCAAAGTTGTTTATGAGTATTTGATTGAGAGTTTAAAATTTTGGGATGATAGATATATTTTAGTTTTAAAATTACATCTTTAATCAACAACAACAACAACAAAAGCCTTATGAGCTTCTTTAAAACTTCTTCAATCTAGTAGTCAAAAGTGCAATTCTTACCTTTCCCTTTTTTTATTATAAAGTCTGCGTATATTTTACTAAGAAGCTGATTATATATAACTGTAGTTAGCTAATCACTAAGTAATTTCCTCTACATATGCAGTGACTAGCTATTTTGACTAAATTCTTTTTGCAAGGTGCAATTTCTTGAGTTCCTAATTATATTGAGCATATTGGAAAGATGTTTTAAGTAGAGAGGCACAAAGCATTCTTATGACATGCAAACTAAAGGGAAGAAGGAGATAAGTTATAGTTGGATAGGGA